TATATTTGTCATAAAAGTGGATATTTCTAGTAGTGTTTGGGGATAATATTGGAGAACTCTTGGAGTTGCTCTCACCGACCGCTTCGTCTACTGAGCTCGCAAGCTAGCATGTAACTCTTTGGGCGTCCGCAATGGTGCTAGCTACGTAGCTCGCTTAGGTGAAGGTGAGAGATAAATGCAAAGACTATTTTATACATTCTTATTTTTTTATGTGCTATTGGACCCACATGTTCCACTCTCAGATTCTTGAACTACGTAAAATAGATCAGTTATTTATTTGTCGCTAGTGACTACTCTCTCTCCTACTTTTTCTCTATCCATGTCATAATAGCCGCTAGCTGTTGGGGATGCCCTTGTAGCATCGATGAGGAGAGAGGTCCATGGGTGATACTATATAGTTCGCCTCTGTTCACAACACAGGCACAATATGGTCCTTGCTACTCAGTCATGTGTCTTCTTGAGCTTCTCCGATGGTAGATCACCAATACCAAGTTCGGAGGTTTCTTTGTCTGATGCGGATGTATCATCCCTTGCACCTTCTCAATTGCTAAGTCGTTTCCAAGGCATCATCCTTCTTCACTTCTCAAATCTCTACTGCTGGTGTGTTGCGTATTTGATGCTGCTGGATGAATCAACAAACTTCCACAGCATATCTTCGGATGTCTGTACTGGTGCATGTATCTATGTACAATAACCTGTTCGATGGATCTGTGCTTCTTCGGTTTGTTGGCTTAAGAGCTTCGTGCTTCATACATGTCGCATCTCTATTTTCTTCACATCTTATATGGAGCCTAAGTATGATGAATTAATGGCCTTTTTTGTGAAACGACAATATTCTTTTACAATCGTCTTTGGAGTTGTATTAGTTTCATTCAGTTTTCATATATGAATTTGTACATAGACATATTGTTGATAAGTATACCTGAGGCGTATCATGGGAGCAAATAGGTTCGGCGATTGGTTACTTCACTTTCATTTGCAATTAATTCCGAAAGATGAAGTCATCATGTTGTTAATTTGATTTAATTTCCAAGCTTGCGTAAGTCACCTAGAAATCAATGGTAGCTTAAGGATTCAATGCCTCCTTACAATTGTAAGTTACTTAGCAACGATGACACTTCGGTAGTTCATAGGTTCTTTCAACTGCACTTCTAATTAAAAATCCAATAATTCCTGCTCAAAATGAATATCTATTGGTATCCAGCTGTTCGGTTGATGGTTTCTGCGGCTGATGAGCCGGCTGAAGCTAATTTATTGTGAGAGAAAAAATACTGTTCCATGCTTGATAAGTCAGGCCGATAAGTTTATAGCAACACTTTCTATCCTAATGTCCCGCAGCAACGCGCGGAGAATTCACCTAGTTTCAAAGGAGATCGTAGCCACCTCATTTGGACTAACATCCCCCACTTATCTATCTAGAATCTGATATTTTCTTTATCAAAGAATTATATATGTTAAACGAAATAGAATGCTTATAACTATAGTATCAATATAGAGTGCTTACAATCACCGTGAAGTGAATGTTTTGTTACCATGAATCCACATTCATACAAGCATGTGCCCTTGATCTGCATGATAGCACACCATGCATGTTTAAATTAATCATTCTGAATATATTAATGTCAAGAGAATTGGATACTTTAGAAATGGCATGTATATAGGCAATTTAACTAATTTTTGTTATAGCACGTGTTGGTAATTTAGATATATACATTGGAGAGGATTTTTTTAGTTTTTTTTAATAATGGCAGAAGTGGGATACTTTATAAACAGAGCATGCATGGGATCGACAGGATGTATCTCTATCTCTCATCCCATGAATTAAAGATCGATAGACTTATACCTAAACTTTGGAAAATTCTATAATATCAAATTCCAACCTAAAAAGTCTAGTGTATAGAGTAGACTTCAACTCTTTCAAAATGAAAGGATCCAAATAGACGTAGTAATAGTAATAAGAAGTACAAGATAGCACTGGTTGAAATGTAGTAGAGTTAGATATGTACTCCCTCCGTCCTTTTTATCTGTAGTTCTCACTTCCTGAAAAGTCAAACAAACTCAACATTGACCAAATAAATATATGTATACAAGAAAATAATAATGTTTACGGTACATAACTAGTATGACTAGAAAGATTGTTGAATCTACTTTGCATAATAAATTTATTTGGAGATACAAATATTACTAATATTTTATAAGAATCTAATTAGAGTTAAGAAACTTTGACATGCATGTTTTCTATAGCAGATGAATATAAAGGGTGCGAGGGAGTATATGCACCGTCCGTGTCTGTACTGTGTCTTGTAAAAAAGCACATAGGATTGAAATGGGAGTAGCATGCTACTAGTAGCATTAGCATAGCGTGATTAAGCTTAGGAGGAGGAGGAGGAGGGAGGTAGGTAGGGACACGTGGAGTAGAGACAAGTCAATGTCAGGGGACGCGTTTCGTCGTCAGGCACAGATAATCGGTTTGTTGATTCGTTTTCCTTCTTCCTTCCATTACGTTAACCTCCATCCCCGCCAACGATTAGCAAGCGCCTGCTGCCACTACGTCAAATGGTAGTGAGGGTTTGTTCAGCCGCTCCTATCTAAATGTCTCTACAAATTATGTATTTATAGAGACGGTTCTCAGACTATCTCTACAAATCGATTTATAGAGACGGTTGGTTTTATTAGCCGTCCCTATAAATTAATTTGTAAGAGCGGCTATATATTAAACCGTCCCTACAAATTAATTTCTAGAAATCACGAAAAAAGTGACAAAAATAGCAATTTTTTTATCTGAGGAGGTCCCCCACCAGCAGCCATACACCCACTCTATGGTTGCAGTATTTTTCATGATTTTTGCACACTTTGTGTCGGTCAGGATTCGAACCCACAACCTCTCCCTCGTGCGCAAACTCCTCTACCACTGCACTAACGATCACTTGTGTCTACAATCCATGTTGGTTCGCCACATATTATATAAAACTGAGCATAAATTGATTGTTTGAGGCCCTAAACTAATTCAAATGAAAAAGTTACCAACTACAAAGTTTTATAACTTTTCGAGATCTACAACTTTTATTTCGGTAGTTTCTCCATCCGAGGTCACTTATAAAATTTGAATTTCAAATTTGAGAAATTCGAACGTAGTTTTCTATGACAAGATGATTTCAAATGAGAATGTTATCAACTACAAAGTTTCATAACTTTTTAAGATCTATAACTTTTATTTTTACTGTTTGTCCATCCGAGGTCGTTTAAAAAATTAAAATTTCAAAATTTTGGAAATTCAAACGTAGTTTTCCTTGACAAGATGATTTCAAATCAAAAAGTTGTCAACTACAAAGTTTCATAACTTTTCGAGATCTACAACTTTTATTTTGGTTGTTTCTCCATCCGAGATCATTTATAAAATTTGAATTTTAGTTCTTAATTTTTAATACTCGGTGTCTATTTGTAGGGGCCGTTCAATATTGAGCCGTCCCTACAAATCTGATTTGTAGAGACGGCTGGATATAGAGCCGCCCCTATAAATTAGCCCATTTGTAGGGACGGCTGATAACACCGGCCGCCCCTATAAATCTTTTTGTAAGGGCGGCTCATTTGGCAACCATTCGCCCCTACAAAGAAAGAGAGGCGTTGCCACAAATCATTTTTGTAGTAGTGTGCGACTCATATGCGAGGGAGATAGATATTTGATGGTGCGAGTGCGAGCGAGGTAGGAGTAACAGTAACAACCATCATATGATATCAGAATCAGACGACGGGCCGGGTTCCATTTCCATAGACGGCCGATCGAGGCAGAGCCAGCTAGCCAGCCCCCAGCTAGCGGGGCACCACGTTGAAAACCGATGGGTGGGGCGTCGAATCGAGTTGTCGTCCGTCCCATGATCCATCCCATCCCATTTCATTCCATCCCTTTGTTTTTTTAGCCTAAACCTTGTTTAGATTGCAAATTTTTGCAATCTGGACACTGTAGCACGTTTCATTTGTATTTGACAAACTTTGTCCGATCATGGACTAACTAGGCTCAAAAGATTCGTCTCGTGATTTACAACCAAACTGTGCAATTAGTTACTTTTTTTTACCTACATTTAATGCTCCATGCATGCGTCCAAAAATTGATGTGATAAAGAGAGAGTAAAAAAACTTAGAACTTTGAGGCAATCTAAACGAGGCCCTAGATATGATGATGCCACTTTATTGCTTTCTTGACGATCCATCCCATCGAGAGGAGTTTTGTTTCGAATGGGAGAGTACTCGTACGTTTTATTTATAGTTGATTGAGGTTGGATGCATGGTTTCTTCTTGTTCTTGGTCGTCGTCTTGTATTGTCTTCTTCTGACGGGTGGGCATGCCGGCCGGAGACCGGAGAGACAGGGAGAGAGGCCGGTCGAGCTGAGGGAAATTGAAGAGATCAGAGGGACGACGACAAAGCAGAAAGATTAGTATTCAACAAGGTGAAGGTGTGGTGTGGACATGCTAGAGGAGAGGAGAGGGAGAAGAGGACAGGACAGTCGCCGAGTCGCGCACGCACGAGGATTGATTGAATGAATGAGATGGATGGCACGGCACGGCACGGACGGCGTGGCGTGGAAATGAGAGAGAGAGAGAGAGAGCGATCCGATCCGGTCGTCGTCTCGTCTCTCTTTTCGTCGCCGGGTACGGGCAGCAGGCCAGTGAGGAGGCGCCACGTTCCACTGACGCAGCTCCTGATGTCATGTCTCTAGTAGTCTGTTACCCAGTCCTCTCCCTCGTCGATCGCCTCCTTCTTCTTCCCTTTTGTTTTTATTTATTTTTGTATTATATATACGCGTCCCCGTGGCAGCGGTCAGAGGCTTCTTCCTCCCTTTTCTTTCTTCCACCCACACCACACACCATTCTTCCTCCGTCTGAGTGAGATCAATCTCCCCTCCTCTCCTCTCTTACAGTAGACGTACGGCTGGCTGCACCTGCAGGCAGCCGACGACGAATCAGATCGGACCTGGGACGATCTCATCCCCCACACTTCTTGCATGGACAAGGCCCACCTCGGAGTCGGAGGCCTGTTAGCTCTCGACGCGTCGCCGCGGCCCCTCGGCTTCCTCAATCTGCTACCGCCCACGACGTCGCCGCCGTTCCACAGAACAAGAACAACCACCATGGAGGCCGCCGACGACGGAAACGGAACACCGCCAGGCAGGGGCCGTAGGTCCATCGAGGTGGACTTCTTCTCCGACGACAAGGACAAGAAGACCGCTGCTGCTGCAGCTAACAACAAGACCTGCAGGACCACCGTGTCGCCTGACCCCGGGCCGCCGGCGGCGGGATCGGGATCAGCAGCCAGCTGCCTCGCCATCAAGAAGGAGGACCTCACCATTAACGTACGTTACTTACTACCTTGTGTTAATTACTTGTTTCATTTCTTCATTGGATTAGAGTAGCAGCAGATCCTTTTTTTCTTCTTCGATCCGATCCCCCCCTTGTGTGTCCTTGAATTCCCCCCGTCGACGAGTGACGACGATGACCGACCCATGCGTGATGCGTGCGTGCAGCTCCTTCCCGGCACCGGCAGCAACGCCAACGACGAGGAGGCGGCCACCAGGCTCCGGCTGCCGTACCAAGACAAGCAGAGCAGGAACACCAACGAGGTATGCGCTGGCCATCTTTTTATTTCTTTATTTACGGACATACGTGTTGTTGATTGATTTATCGATTGCAAACACACCGCCCGCCGAGCGTCGTTGATGCCCATGCCATGTATAGCGGATCGATCCGATTCAATTCGGATCTGTCCGCCGCCAGCGCTGCCAGTTATTACACCTTGACTTGATGCCCTTGCAGCTTTCGGCCATGCAGGCGGAGCTTGCGCGCATGAACGACGAGAACCAGCGGCTGCGCGGGATGCTGACCCAGGTCACCAGCAGCTACCAGGCCCTCCAGATGCATCTCGTGGCGCTCATGCAGGCGCGGGCCGGCGGCCCGATGCTGCCTCCTGTGGCCCAGGCGCTGCCGCCGGCGACCGACGGCGCTGCTGTCATGCCGAGACAGTTCCTCGGCCTAGGACCGGCGGCTGCCGAGGAGACGTCCAACTCGTCCACGGAGGTGGGCAGCCCGCGGCGGTCGTCGTCCACCGGCGGCAACAGGCGGCAGGAGCTTCAGGCGGAGCGCCGCGACAGCCCGGACCCGGCGGATCCGTCGACAACAGCAAGGCAGCAGCAGCTAGCGCAGCAGCAGGAGGCCAGCATGAGAAAGGCTCGCGTCTCGGTGCGCGCGCGATCCGAAGCGCCCATCGTAAGTCGTCTGTCTGAGTTTGTTTCCTTTCTTCCTCACACATGTGGTTTCCTTCACCTGAGGCCCTGACATCCATTGCAATGGACGGACGGCGGTGCACGCAGATCGCCGACGGCTGCCAGTGGCGCAAGTACGGGCAGAAGATGGCCAAGGGCAACCCATGCCCGCGAGCCTACTACCGCTGCACCATGGCCAACGGCTGCCCCGTGCGGAAGCAGGTGAGGAGACGGGACCCAGTCAACGCCACGCACCCTCAGTTCTCCCTTTTCCTTTCTTTTTCTTTCCTGCATTGGTTTGCATTTATTTGCGTGTTTTGACCGGACCTCCTCTCGGACCTTGGACCGGGAGAGATGCTCCTTTCCTTTCCTTTGTGCATGCTGACTTTGACTGACCAGCTGGCTGCATCTGGCACACGCAACGCACGCAGGTTCAGCGCTGCGCCGACGACCGCTCCATCCTCATCACCACCTACGAGGGCACCCACAACCACCCGCTCCCGCCCGCCGCCATGGCCATGGCCTCCACCACCTCCGCCGCCGCCTCCATGCTGCTGTCCGGCTCCATGCCCAGCGGGGACATGATGACCTCCAACTTCCTGGCGCGGGCCGTGCTGCCGTGCTCCTCCAGCATGGCCACCATCTCCGCCTCCGCGCCATTCCCCACCGTCACGCTCGACCTCACCCACGGCCCGCCCGGTGGTGCTGGTGCTCCTGCTGCACGACCGCAGCCGCACTTCCAAGTGCCGCAGCCACCGCACCAGCAGGTCCAGCACCACCACCTGCAGGCGGCGGCCGCGCTCTACAGCAGTCACCAGTCTTCGTCCAAGTTCTCCGGCCTGCACATGTCATCGTCATCGACATCGGACAATAACAATAATGTTGGCACTGCTAGCAGAGCCGCCGTGGCAGCGGCTGACGCGCCGCCGCACATGGACACCGTCACCGCGGCGGCAGCGGCCATCACAGCGGACCCCAACTTCACGGTGGCGCTGGCGGCGGCCATCACCTCCATCATAGGTGGAGGAGGCCATCCAATTCCAATTGCGATGCATCAAGGGCAAGGGCAAGGGCAAGGGCAAGGGCAGGGGCAGCAGCAGCAGGGTCCGACCCCGACCCCGACGAGTAACAGCAACGCCAACAACAACAACAATGCGGTGGTGACAAGCAGCAGCAACAATACGGCGACCAGCAACAGCGAGACCCAGTGAACATAACATACGTACTTACATACAACCTGCAAGATCACCTCATCAGCTCCGCTTATTAGCTAGCTCAAATGATTTCTTAGCTTGCATTTTCTTTTTCTGTAACTTGTTTCTCAGTGGCACGGTTTTGTTAATTCTCTGCGGCAAAAAGTTGTATTGATTCATTATTTCCCTAACTTTAACTTTCTTTGCGTTGCTGCTAGGGCATCCAACTAGATACAGTGATACATAGGAGTCCTATTCACAAGGCATGCATGATGCAATAACTGATAATAGATCCTGGATCAATGGAGAATGAATGAATTTTGGTACTCGACCGATCCTATTCCAGCAGTATATATTCCTACATGGGAACAATCTAGTATATTAATTTTTCGATTTCATTTAGCATTCCCGGCCGTGCTGGAGTAGCTCTTTAATTCGATGATCGTGTTTTCTTAGTAGCAGTGTACTTCCTGAATAAATAGATTTATAGAATTGTATTTAATTCGATCGTGTTTCCATGTAGTAGTACTCCTCCTAGCGTCTCAGACAGAATATATATATATATATATATATATATATATATATATATATATATATATATATATATATATATATATATATATATATATATATACACGTACTGTTCTATAGCTGGCCGCCGAATAAATTATTCTGTGGCCACTTTAAGTTACGATAATTACTATACTAATTTACGAGATTATGGTAACTCCCTTATAAGTAATTTACTATAGCATTATGGGTAAATATCATCTTAAATTATAGTAACCCATGTATCGTAAATGTGTATTGTCATTATCGTAAATCAAGGTGTCCATAGAATAAGTTATTATGTGGCCAACTGCAGAATAGCCTTACCATATATATATATATATATATATATATATATATATATATAGAATAAAATTCGGTACTGTTCAGTACTCGCGTTTCAGTATTATTCAGTATTCCGGGATACTGGGTGTAGTATTGACTGATACTGGACGCGGTTCAGTACTACTTAGTATTTTTTTCTGATTAGTTTTGCCTTGTGGTGTAGAATAATATTCGCCGTGTGTGTATATATATATAAGGAGAGTATATTCAGTAGCCAATTACAAAATAAGTTATTCTGTAGCCACCTCTATTTACGATAATTTTATATACTAATTTACGATAATATCAATACATATTTACGATAGTTGGGTTACTATATATATATATCAGCTTTGATCGATCCATCTCGATTTCTAAGAATAACTAGAAAACCATGGGCACGGCGTTGCCGCGCCAGCTAGGGCTGTTCCAGTAGGGAACCTGCGAGTAGTATTGGCGGTGGCCATGTATTGAGATGAAAAATATAACATATGACTTATTGGTAGTGACCTTATCTCCGATTGATAGGTCACCGTTCGAGAGCCAAATGCCGACCGAAAGGGTGGATTGCCGATCGTGCTGCAAAGAGACCAACAGTTCCTGCTTGATCGTTCGGGAGACATTGCTTGATGTTTAATTTTCTATATAATTTTTTATAAAACTTGAAATGCTTTAGCTCTCCAAGAAAATTTAAATGACTTATAATTTGGAATGGGGGGAGTACTTATTCATTTGGTTTTGTCCCTTTTCAGATTATGTAGTGAAATAGAATCGATAATCACTAATAAGTGATGTGCTCAGGTCATGGCACAACCTAAATTGATATTTTCTATTTAGAATTGGATGCTTTGCTGAAATATGCATTTTTCGATCTTGCAAAAATAAAATTGGCTACAGGAACACCGATCACTATGAGAGATGAATTTTGTGAAGCACTGAAGCTAAGCTACCCTAATGAAGTAGCATCAAAATTAAAGAATATTTCGATTTTCACCTAGCTGATGGTAAGGATCATGTCTATTTCTGAATAAGCACTTCACTCCTTTCTTCAAACTTAATCGAGGCAGTAACAGTTTATAATTCAACATCATTGGAACTAAACAGTATTGAGTTCAATAACAGAAAAAACAGGCATGGACATATATATATTTCTTATCTTGTAGGTCGTCCATGAGAGGTGAAGTGAATGATGTCTCATGCCTTGACTTCAATAGTAGGTCGCACCTAAAGAGGTATGGAACTATTTTAGATTAAAAAATCTGTCACGACCCGTAAGCTATCTGGAAACAAACGTATAAGTAATGTACATGTAGAAGTGTGGGTATTTTTTGAAGGATGAAATATAGTAATCGGAGACGTAATAGCATGTTAAAATGCAGTAAACTATTAGTTTGTTTAATAGTACATGAAAACAATTTGATTGTCTATACTTGTACAGCTCTTTGAATTTGTAATTTGAAAACAATTTGACTGTACAATTTGTAGCCTGCGAAAAAACATGATAAATTCAGCAGCAAGAAAGTCTATATACTTGTATAACGAGTGAAAATTAGCTAGCGTATCTCATCTTGTTTCCTAATCCTATTTGCATTTGCTAATCAAATTGAGAAGCAGAAGGGCTAGGAAGATTCTGACTATATTAGATTACAGCACACAAAGGAAAGGGAATAGCAAGGTTCTTAGTAATGGATATATAGCATGTTGTATGATCCTCAGAACATTAGAGAGAAACAGAATCTTTACCCTGAACTGCAAGAATTGCAGCTGTAAGATCACATGAAGCAGGAGGTGGCAGTTGTAGGCTTGCAGCGCGCTGGGGCAGTGCAAGAGGCAGCCATGGCGGGGCGCAGTGGGGCGAGGTGCCAGTGGCACCGGCCCAGCGACGACGCGGTGGGTGAAAGCTCTAGTTTGGTTTTGGTGAATTGATGAAACCCTAAGTGCTAACCTAGTTTATCAAGTGATCATGAGATAGGTAGCACACTCCAAGTGATGAAGCAAATGAAGATCATAGCATGATGATGATGATACCATGATGATGATCAAGTGCTTGGACTTGGAAAGAAGAAAGAGAAAAACAAAAAGCTCAAGGCAAAGGTATAAATCATAGGAGCTATTTTGTTTTGGTGATCAAGACACTTAGAGAGTGTGATCACACTTAGGATTGATAGCCGTACTATTGAGAGGGGTGAAACTCGTATCGAAATGCGGGTATTAAAGTGCCACTAGATGCTCTAACTCATTGCATATGCATTTAGGATCTAGTGGAGTGCTAACACCCTTGAAAATGTTTGTGAAAATATGCTAGCACTTATGCACAAGGTGATACACTTGGTGGTGTTGGCACATTTACAAAGGAGGTGGTGTTTGCAGGGTTGAGATGGGTTTGGGTCGAGCGATCGGATTGATAGCCATACTAGATGCTTTCGGGAAAATGGAATGCCTATTTTCTATTGCGCCAGATGCAAATTCTTGTGGTTGGCACATTAGAGCAAGGGTGAAGAAGTTAGAAGTGAAAACGAGTTGATCGCGAAGACGCTGGCGTCAGTCTACTGACCGGACGCTGGGTTTGAAAGCACCGGACCCTGGCAGCGTGTGTCCGGTCAAACTGACGGGTCTGCGCAATACTGAGGGTATTACACCGGACGCTGGTCTGTGTCCGGTCAAGGTGGACCGGACGTGTTCGGTCGAAGAAATACGCCTCGGGGAGCTTACTGGAAACGACCGAACGCTGGGGCTTCAGCGTCCGGTCAGTTTTACCGGAGCGTCCGGTCAACTACGTAGCCGTTGAAATCGGGCGATCGGCGTTTGAAGCCAATGACTCGTGGCGCTCATCGCACGACCGAACACTGAGGTCCAGCGTCCGGTCAATATGACCGGAGCGTCCGGTCGGCCCGTGTTCAGCCCAGTGAAGGGGTACAACGGCTCTATTTCTTTGGGGCTCTATTTATAGCCCCATGGCCGGCTCAAGCAACCTTGTGAGCTTAGCCAAAGTCCTCCCACTCATCTCTATCATTGATCCATCATCATTGTGAGATTAGGAGAGAATCCAAGTGCGTTGCTTGAGTGATTGCATCTAGAGGCACTTGGTATTCGTGTTGCGCTGCGGATTTCGCTTGTTTCTCTTGGTGGTTGCCACCACCTAGACGGTTGGAGCAGCGGTGGAGGATTGGCACGAGTTGGTGATTGTTCGTGGCCATCTCCGGTGATTGTAAGGGAAGTTGTACCTTTCCCGGCGGAGTGCCGAAAGGTAACTCTAGTAAATTGCTCGTGTCATTGAGTTACCTCACTTGTGGGTCGGTTCTTGCGGTATCCTATCATGTGGACGAGGTTTGTGAAACACCTCTTAGCCGCCGAACCACCAAGTGTTGGTCGACACAATGGGGACGTAGCGTGTTGGCAAGCACGTGAACCTCGGGAGAAAATCGATTGTCTCTTGTCTTTGGCATTCTCCCGGTGATTGGCTATATATTCATCTTGTGATTGGTTCATCCCCTACACGTCGGTATAATCACCCTACTCACTTATTTACATTCTTGCAAACTAGTTGATACAAGCTCTTTAGTGTAATTAGAATTGAGAGCTTGCTTTATTATTTACATTCATCTAGTTGAGCTCTTTAGAGTAGCAAGATTGAGAGCTCTTAGTGAGTAATTACATTGCAAGTTGTGTGCCTAAGTAATCATAGCAACTAGAATTGTTGGATAGGTGACTTGCAACCCTTGTAGAGCTAGATCAAATTTGCATTATGCTATTTGTCATACTAATCATATTGCTCTAGTTGATTTGTAGATTTTTAAATAGGCTATTCACCCCCCTCTAGCCATATTAGGACCTTTCAGTGGGCCAGGCCCCCGGCCATGTCTGGGCGCGCTGGCTTAATTGATGACTATATATGGCTATGGCTATGTATGGGGATCATTGTTGTTGCAGTTTAGGATTTGAGGTCGTTAACTCTGTCAGAAATTATTCAGCGGAGGTTATTTTCTGCTATGGTACAATTTGATGAGCTTATGGCATCTCGTTGATGTTTGTAGATACTGCATATGATCTTATATGAATCCCCTGACGTAGGCCTACATATTCACTCATCATTTTTACAAACAACAAAAACTGTTGGGCTTTGATGGAAATTGAACTAAAATTGT